GTTACTATGCAAAAGTTACACCAGATTCACAACAACTGCATAGACACATTCATTTCCATTTAAAAATCTAAATTATTCTAAATAAGGCTTTAAGTTGGTTCTAAATTTTATCTTAAATTTAGTGCAAACTATTTTTGTGTGAACATTTGTTTATGCAAAGCTTGTGACTGCAAACCAGGCTTTTATTTGTAACTCTGTGCAAGAATTAAACTAATGATTATACACAAATTTTTTATTGAACTAAAGCATTATTTTAGTTAGTATGTATTCTTAAAACAAGGATAACAAAGATTTGAATTTATATGCATTTAAAATATATTTGAAAAAAAATGTGTAAAGAAGACATTTAAAAAGAATTGGGCAAAATTAGCAATTAGAACTGCATAAACAATGCCAATTAATGGGTTTAAATGGGCATTAATGTTTTTTTTTAATTGAATACTGAAATATATCTTTTTTTTTTAAAGAGGTCATATGATGTTGCTAAAAAGAACATTATTTTGTGTATTTGGTGTAATGAAATGTGTTTATGTCAGGCATGACGAAGCAGATATTGTCCTCTTTTGGAAGGCCAAACAAAGTAGTTTCGCTTTCACAACGAAGCACAAAGCGCCTTCACGACATGGCGTAACAATACTACAGCGAGAATAAAAGTTACGCCTTCTTTCTTTGCGTGAACATTTGGGCGGTGTTATGCAAATCTTCCCAGATAGTGACGTAGGTATGTGGGGGCGTGTTAAAACGAGCCGTTTTAGGTAGGCGTGGTTGACTCTTAACTTTTATAAAGAATATCTCTTCAGATTTGAGACTTTAGTCTTTGCAACTTTACAGATCTTCTTTATGCACCAAGAGCTTGTAACACTCCAAAGAGAAAGGAAAAATTTTACTCGCATCATATGACCCCTTTAATAAAATTATAGTCTAAATATGAAACTAAAACCGCCAACAGGTGGCGGCAAGACAGGCCAAGCGAGTTATTCAATGATCCATTCAACCAATTCACTCAAATGACTGATTCATTCAAAAACAAAGCTAGTGACCGTCTTTATGAATGGCTTACTGAATCATCAGCTCACTCAATTTGTTAAAAATGAAACATCTCTGTGTTGAGGCATTGTCTTGTGGTGTGTTTTACTATTTTTGTTGGCGAAGTTGAGCAAAAACAGACGATACTGACAATACTGTGTCTAAAATGTAACACAATATTAACTTATTGTTTATTGAACTGTTCCCTAAAATCAATATTATATTTGCAATCATACAGATATTCGAGAAAAAACACTCTTGCTTGTGTGATATGCTTAACGATAATTATGGCATCATATCTTGAATTTTAGGGGCATGTAACACTGCATTCTAATAGACTACATCATGCAGTCAGTCGTCATCCTGCATCATATTTGTCAACAACTGTTGCATGCAATGTAAGATCACATACAGCTCTGGGCCGGGCAAAGGTGCGTTAAATACGTTAATAATTTCAACACAATACTTTTTCCAAAAATAATTGAACCAGATAGATAGATAGACAGTTGGCAGTAGTATTTGTGGATGAATGAAGATTGCTAGAGTTTTGTAGAATTAATGCATCTGTGTTTGGTATCTATGAATGTGCAAAGCTTGTGCTATTGTTCTGTGCCAGCACTACTCTTGTGTGAGAGTAAACACAGTCTTTGATTTATACTTACAAAGGAAATACAGGCGGCAAGGAGGAGAATCCGAACTAGCAGATCCTCAAACTGCTCCAGAACAAGTTCCCATAGTGACTTACCTGTAAACACAACAAAAAATTGTGTAAAAATGTAAAAACCTTTACAAATACATCTTTAATATGTATACATCTTTAACATTCAATCAAGATCTATTTAGCTACAAACAGAGTGCAAACCTCATCCAACCTCCTCAAGGGAATCCAATAATAACTAATTATCTACACAACCATGCCATCTCCCATGCAACAAAGGTAAGCTCAGAGAGACTTTTAACTTTGAGAATATGATGAAAGATCTGCTAATAATTACACAAACCCAAGGGAGCAGCTCACCTTCTTCTGCAGGTAACTCTGTGGCACAGGATATAGCAAAGTAAAAGAAAAATGGGCAGAAGATCAAATATAAAGGTTAAATGAAATCTCATCATTACATTTTCTGTTGTTCATAATGCTCAAAACAGTTGTATTTATGCAAGAGATGTAGTACCATTGGGGCCCCAGCTTTCTCTGCTCTTCCTTAATTGCTCAGAGCTCAGTCCCGTTGTCTCGTTGACACCGAAATATCCCAGCACCTCCTCAACCGTCTTTGTATGGGCATTGTCCATCCCTGCAAGAAAATAATACATCTTAAAATCTAATTCCATCATCATTTACTCAGCCTTGTGTTACCATACAAAAAATGACAACCTTCCCATGTAAAAATCATAGTCGCCATCACTGTCCACTTTGACTGCATGAACAAAAGAAACAATGAAAGTGATTTGTGACTAAGTCTTCCTGTCTGACATCTTCAGGTTTGGACCAACACGAGGGATTAAAAATGTCATATTTTCATTTTTATCTGAATTATACCTTCCATTTTCAAACGAGACTCTTTCTAGAGGGAACTTTCGATATTAACAAAAAGCACAGTATCCTAACATAAACGTAACGTAACTACAGTAAACACGTGTGTGCACTTGTTGTGTATCTATGATTACCTGCCTGCCTAAAAGACCCAGGATATTATATTTTCATGAAACTGTATTAGGACGCGAAACTACTGCGCACCTGTTACTCTGCGTTACCTGCGTTTAGTTATTATGATGACTTTCTGAATAGAACCATTCAAGATAATATTTAACTCGATAGGTCTCACACATAAATATCCGAGGCTAAATGTTTCGGTTCATTGTATGCCAATGACGATGCAAATGTAAATAATAGCGAGTGATTACAAGCTGTGAATTGTGTATTTTCCTGTCAAGTTTGACTAACAGCTGACTGAGCTGACTCAGCTGACACACCGCTGATCAGATTCCCTCTAACTGACTGATCCTGCAGGCACTGTGATCGATCACCTCCCAGTCTACTGTATTATCAGACACAGCATGATGCCGACAACACCTTACTCACCAGTTAAACTGTAATTCGGTCCTCTGCAAACCAATAACTTCCGTTACACCAAACCGATATGCTAAACCGCGACAAGAGAGAATATATCCCAGTTACAACCCAATGCGGTGTGCTATTGTAGATCGATCTGCTGATGAAATCCAATCGGGCAGAGAGATCGCACTGCAGCGCTGCTCAAGGCAAATGCTGATTTTCTGCTATGCGTTTTCCTTCCGATTTCAGCATGATCCGGAATATTATACAAAAATAATTCACTGCGGGATGAATGATTGATTTTTTTTTTTAGTAGATTTTCGACGCTATCAAGTCTTCTTGAATGTACCGGTAGTATTTAAAATGGCCAAACCGATGCTGTAATCCGCCGCTACCTCCTATCTACATAACCGTCGCTTTATTTAATACTAGGTCACTGAGCGACATTATTACCGTAGGTGCTTCAGTCGCAGCATCGATGGGCAGCGCTGCAGCCAATGATCAATCAAAACATCAGCCGGACAGATAGAGTGGACAAATCAGCTTCGTTCTTCTACTGATAGTCCCGCCTACTCGTTCTTGCTGCAGGAGGGCGGGGCTTCCACCCGCACTGTGGCTTTCTGTTTAACCAGTGACCGTTGCGTGCGACAGTATAATTTATATTTACATAAACCACTCAGGCTACGTGAATGTTAAGTGACGCTGTTGTGAACCAATGAGAAACAGCTCTAACCGAAGAGGCGGGACAACGTCGCTTGGGTCAATAATCCAGCCCCTCCCCCGCATCCATCTGTCACTCAAGGAAGGTATATTGTGGCTAATGACGCGCTCGCTTGTGAATACTAGCACCATAAGTGTATGAGGTAATATTGTTTGTTCAATGCATATTTTGTATGAACAGTTGTTTATTTGCTATTAATAAAAAAAATAAAAAAAACTTCCGCCATAGGTCACGCCCCCCGATGACGTCAACGAGCGGGTCGGAGATATTTCCCGAACCTTCTCAAATAACAAATAAATACTTATCAAAGGAGAAAAAAATAAAGGTCGATATGCAGAACCAGCAAATATGTTCAAACCCATAATCCACGTCGACGTGAAAATATTATAATGAATTCCAGTCGAACACGCAGGTTGATGGAGTGGAGAGGGATCTGACCTATTTCAATGGTTGCCATAATTATCTGCCCCTAATTAATATCATTCTCGAGAGGGACTGTTGTAATTCCTGCATGCATATGTTACATATACATATGCCTTACTGTAAAAGCTATTTTAACAGCTAGAAGTGCAAAAAATGCAATTGTATATTGAGTGATCAATAACATGTATCTGTGAAATTAAATCAAAGTGTTTTTTTTTAAATAAACTTTGTTAATTTGGAAATATTGCAGCACACAGCACAGGGGATCTTTAGCCATAAAAGTTGCTCTCTGAGTATTTCACAAACAAGTGGGCCTATATAGAATTATAATAAAGCATAAAACGGTGCATTTGTGTGTAGCATGCCCATTTTCAATTCCATATAATTAATTTTAAAAGCACCAGTAAAGGTGATCATTATTAATCGATCTGTTAAACAATAATGCTTTTGCTAAATTGTTTGGGATCCATTTAAGCATTTGAAGTTCACCGAATGATGCTAAAATATTGTCGGATAAGAACTTATTTGTACATGTTGTTCATAAGTAGGCCTTTTAACTTTTCAATTTGTGGTTTAAGATTATAAGGTACTTACAAAATGTAAATGTAACACAAATGTATAAAAAATGACAGAATATACAAATAAGATAAAAAATAGAATAAGTAAAATAGAATAAATAAAAAAGGCATATAAGGATATATGTGATTGATATTGTTATGCATATAGAGCAGGTGCACAGAGAGTAAACCATGACTCAACAATAACCTTTGAGTATAAAATGTTTAATGAAATGTAGTGTAATAAACAACAAAGCAAACATATTAGAACATATCAAACACTACAAAAGTATTTCTTCATTTCTCATCTTTCTGTCTTTTCTCCATCAGTTTTTCAGAGGGGATAGTCACACCAGAGACTGAAACAGAGAAAGAAAATGAGCATTATAATGACAGGCTTCGGCTGGTTTTTGATTGTATCTGCATGTGTAAAAGGGAGAGAGAGAGAGTATGTGATTGCATATTAGTAATACCTCTGTGTGTACTCTGGGTCAGTGCTCTCCTTCAGTAAAATGTCTTTAATCTCCTGCAGGGGATTCAGCCCATGCAGTGCTGCCCTCTCCCATCTCTGCAGTCGACTGATCCCTAACACACACACACACACACACACACACACACACTATTATATATTAGTTTCATCTTGAAAAGAATTAAAGAGCTCAAAGTGACACGGCTGATACATTTCAGGATTTTATTGCTTTACAGACTACAGACACCACAAAAAAATAATGACATAAAGTTGCACATAGAGATTGATTAGTAAAATGAATAACGCACCTGTGCATGGTCCGAATTTCCAGTCCAGATCAAACTTCTTCAGTTCTTGTAGATCTTTTTCTCTTTCACTCAGTTGTGGGGGCTCAGGTTCTGGTAAGTTATAACATTGTTATAAATGCTGCTGCATCACTGGTGCATTTGCATGCGCCCCTAAATAATTTGCACAGTTTAGGAATATGATGACATATTGCAGATCTCTGCTTTCACTGAAATATGCACATACACACACAGAAACAAACATCCTGTCCCACCTGCTACTGGCGGTGAAGGAGACTTGTCTCTCTTGCCCCCTCTCCTTGCCTTCTTCACAACCTTGAAGGTGTCGGTTATGAGGCCACGCTTAGGCGTCATATCTAAAAATAAAGAACAGTGAGTAACACATTAGTTTACTTGAACTAACAATGAAACATATTATGTAGTTAACTAAAGTCATACAGGTTTCCATCATGAGGATAAGTCTAAATCATTCATCTTCAGCTCATTCATCAAGAATGTTGTAAATGCATAATGTTATTGTATACACAACACTTGTGTTTTATTCATTTTGTTAATAGGAAACATCGCAGCAGCGTACAGTAAAGTATATCTTTAGTCAAAGATGCTCACGTATGTGACAAAGTAGCCTACAAATTATTCATTTTGTGTAGAGTTTTAAAAAAGCATTAAAATGACCAGTAAAGGCAATTTTTATTTATCGATCGATCGAACACTGCTTCCGACTGGACTAAAGCTTTTATAAAATTGCACGTGCATCCCCTTACATATGAAATTCACAGCATACCTGAATGCTGCTAGGATGTTGTCGTACGATAAATTACTTGCCAACGTTGACAGCAGTCTTCATCAATTAAGCCTTTTAACTTTCGCTTTGTGGCTCGATCGTTTACAAAACAGACGGACATTCAATAGGAAGGGCGGGGCTACGCACAGAGCGTGATGGCGTCATGACGAACGCGTTAAGCGCCGCGCTCCGCAAATCTACGCACACGGGACTCGGCTTTGATCCTCTCGCCGAATAACAATAATACTGATTCAAATATCGCACATATTTCATTTTCTATGCCATAAAAGTGTTCGATTTAAAAGTAGGTACTGTCAATTTAAAATGTGTCGTTCGTCACAAAAACAGAAACACACTAGCCGCTTTTGAATGCCAGAATAGGGTAGCTTCGCTAGCTCCATTTATTTGTTTAGATTTAGAAAAAAAAAAACATTTGAGATGCCTCTCCAATATATTCAGACGTATTTTATAGCACAAAGCTAAATGACATCCAAATCATGCCGCCTCAATGTCAATTACTAAATTTGTTAATGGGAGAGTAAAAATATTTTTAAAACGTACACCGTTCAAACTAGGCTACTTATGTTGAAGTGTTTGGGATGTGGCTTTTAATGATGAGACCTTTTTTGTATATAACAATTTGGATATAGATTTATCGGCCAACATATCGGTTATCGGCTTTCAAAAATAAAGAATAATCGGTTATCGGTATCGGTCAAAATTTTCATATCGGTGCATCCCTAATTAGGACATTTGTATCATTGACAACACTCTTGAAACGTTACCAAATTCATAAAGCCACATGCAGAGAAAATAAAACCACTCTGTCTAAGCTGGAGTGGCTGACATGAATGACACTCTGGAATTCAATGAAATTTATCAGGATGTCAAGGGCTCCTGGGTGAGTAGATGCTGCCACAGTCTGCAGTCTAATCTGATGTTATTCTTGAAAATGTCTGACTGATCTCTACAGAACGACGGGTGTCTTCGCTTCAGCAAGCAGACAGTGGTGTATAAAAACAGTAAGACTGGGAAGGTGGACAGCATTCCGGTGCCTGAGCTCACTCAAGCCCAGTGGAGGAGAGTCTGTCTGGGTCACGGCATCAAGCTGTGCACCAGCACTGGAAACATCTATAAATATGATGGCTTCAAAGACACTGTGAGTCCGAGATACAAAATACATTCAATAAAAATAGATACATTTGCTCCATCCTCCACTGTTTCGTTACATGTCTTAAATTTTCCGCTCTCTTTTTATGCACAGGACATTGAGAAGATCTCAGAGTACTTCAAAGCCAACTACAAAGTGGAGCTGGTTGAGAAAGATATGTGTGTGAAGGGCTGGAATTGGGGCACTGCTAAATTTAATGGTCAGTGCATTCCTGATGCAACACCATTTCTGAGATATGTACAGTATAGCATTTATTTTATAGTGACCTTAATTCAGGTTCACGAGATCCACTTTCCTGCAGAGTTTAGCTCTAACCCTAATCAAACACACCTGAGCATGCTAATCAATGTCTTCAGGATCATTAGAAAATCACAGGTAGGTGAGTTTGATCAGGGTTGGAGCTAAACTCTGCAGTGCATTGGCCCTCCAGGGCAAGATTTGAGGAACCCTGCTATAGGCTGTAGGCAGAATGGTACAGTATTATAACTTTTACAGTATTAGACTTTTGACATTGAAATTCTAGAAATAATTAGTGGTTGACTGATATATCACCATATATATTTGCTGATATTTGACACTTTTTTAGGTATTGGCATTAACAAACTTTTTTTTCTTTTTTCCCAATAAGTGTCGCTTAAGCGCGAGACACTTTGGAGTGCTCATTTTTTATTAATTTACTTTGTTTAACAGTTCTTAAGTGAACAAAATTATTGGTAATAATAGAAAGTAATAATTGACTACTATTATATAGATTACTAGATTACTCAAATATTATTACTATTATTACTAAAGTAATAAATAGAAAGGCAAACACTGTAATACTTCCTCATATACCAACTTTAAATCCATGATTTCAAACTATGCTGTGCTGTGTCATATTTACACTGGGGGAAAAAAGTTATTCCCAGTGCACACAGACTTGTATTCAGCAATTTCTTTATTTGTGAAAGATACTATAATAGGATTACAGAATCAAGCATAGCTAAGTATAAATCTTTATATTTTACAGGTTTATTTTTTAAATCAATTTCAGAAATGTTTTTTAAATATGGAGTAATTTCTATAATTTGAATAATGTCTAATGTAGTAAATATTATGTAGAGAAAAAATACACATTTAATGAACAAATCACTTGGTATACATGCATTACTTAGAATCTTTAAATAAAACACAGTGATATAATTTATTAGCTTTATATCAGCTATCAGCCATCCTGATTTTTAAGATACCGCCATTGGTGATCAACAGACCGTATTGGTCGACCACTAGAAATAATAAATAAATTCATAATAATTAATAGAATTAATAGAAGACTGTTAATAACTAACCAGCTTTGCATTTTAATAAACGTAGATTTCACTGCCATATCCAAGTATTAAACATTTTGTCCTTCTGTGGCTTTTCAGGGCCGTTGCTTTCATTTGAGGTGAATGAGAGTCCTGCGTTTGAGATTCCGCTCACCAGTGTGTCCCAGTGTGCGACAGGAAAGAATGAGGTCACTGTGGAGTTTCATCAGAACGATGACACAGATGTATCCCTCATGGAGGTGCGCTTCTATGTCCCACCCAGCACAGGGGACGAGGGTTCAGACCCTGTGGAAGTAAGTGTGCATGCTTGTGTGCACGCCACTACCTAACAGTGACCAACAGATGGCATAGGTTACAAAGTAATAATCATAATATGCCTATAAAGCAGGGGTTTTCAATCTTTAGATGACCCAAAATATGATCATCCTTGTGTGAGTGACACCCGTCCTAAAATTATGCTACTCATTTTCATGTAAAAAGACCCAACTGAATCTAATTTGATCAGAAAAAAATAAATGTATAAAATATTATTTTAAAAAGTTTTTATTATATTGCTTTTTATAGTACTGTACTGTATTTAATTTTAAAATAATTTATTGTAATATTATTTTAGTTATTTTAATAAATTTTGTGACGAGTGGGGGCAGGGCCCCAAGTCCAGGCCTGGTCCTCTCTCGTCTTTCACTGTCGTAGCTCCTCCTTTTATCCTTTCCGGAGCTCCTCCGTGGGACTCGAGACTGGTGAGTGGCGCAGGTGTCGCTCATTATCAATTACTCCACTGGCCTCGCTCCGTTCCCACGCCTCTCGGCCCGCCCCTCTCGTCACAAATTTATTTAGTTTTTATTTGCATGTTCAGTTTAATTTTTTTTTCTTTTTTTTAAATTACGCCGTTTTTCTCTAAACTATTGCACAGACTCCAGTTAGAGCCCTAAAGTAAAATCTTTGCACCCGTAAAGCCCACTTCAACTGAAAAGTAATGAGGTCACAGTACTCTTCTCTGCTGTTTTAGGCATTTGCTCAGAACATTCTGTCAAAGGCAGATGTCATTCAGGCTACAGGAGATGCTGTGTGTATCTTCAGAGAGTTGCAGTGCCTCACACCTAGGGGCAGGTACATATACATAAACATAACATTTCCGTTTTGTTTTCTTATTAAAATATTGTGAACTAGCAATGTTTTAATGGTTTTTGCTCTCTGTAGGTACGATATCCGCATTTATTCAGAGTCACATGATCCTTCAGAAATCAATCTAATATGCTGATTTGGTGCTCTAGAAAGATTTCTCCTTATTATCAATGTTGGGAACAGTTGTGCTGCTTAATATGTTTGTTGAAACCATGATATATTTTTTCAGGATTATTTGATGAATAGAAAGGAATAATTTATTTTAAGTAGAATTTTTTTTGTAACAAAATGTAAATGTCTTTGCTGTGACATTTGATCAATTTAATGCATCCTTGCTGCATAAAAGTATGCATTTCTTTAAAAAGTTACAGATATTAGTGTATATTCTAGAATTATGTAGTAGAATAAACAGTAATATCTATTAGTGGTAGACTGATATATCCCCAATGCCGATATATCGACCAATATTTTAAATTTTTCATATATCGGCTTCGGCCGATAAGTTTTTCTGTTTGGCCGATGCGTTCAAGGCGGGACTTTTATTTTGACGGCGCTGAGAACGGCAGCGCCTGAACAGCAACGCTCACATTCACCCTCTTGTTCGCTGTCGTCGTTAACAGTTCTGTCTAATATGGAAATAAGTCTGTCTAATAATCAGATAGAACGGTTAAACAAAGGAATTAAAATGTATTTTATTATATATTATATATATTATTAGTAATAGAAAGGCAAACATTATAATACTTTCTCGTTTGCCGTAATCATTCAGCAAATACGCATTTATATCATTTAAACAAATCTTTGAATGAATAATGAACATTTAATTTCACAAACCTTGCAAACTCAGTGTTTACTTCCTTTTTAATTATATTTTTATTCAATATTTATTTATTTGTGAAAAATACTTTGTCATCTAAAGTATAAGTATGTTTATTTTACACATTTATTTTTTAATCCATTTTCAAATGATTTCGAATTTCTTGAATATTAATTAAAATAACTAAAATTATATCGGCCATCGGCCACCCTGCTTTCCAAGATATCGGCATCGGCTGTCAAAAAACACATATTGGTCGCCCACTAATATCTATACAAATTCAGTGAAGCCTGTATTTTTGTGACAACACATTCAAATGTTATTTTCTCTCTAGTCACTCAGGTGCTCAGTGTATAACATGTTTATATAAGGCCGAAAGAGGTTTCATCTATGTGCACAAGCCCCCAGTGCACCTGCGCTTTGATGAGATCGCCTGCGTGAACTTTGCTCGTGGAACCACCACCACCTGCTCCTTTGATTTCGAGATCGAGACCAAGCAGGGAAATCAATACACCTTCAGCAGCATCGAGAGGTACCCATGAGCCCAATGTTAGTCTTGTCTAATTGTTGAGAACATAGCTTTGTGGGAACTAGACCACACCAGTAATGAAAAGGCCAGTGTCCATATCCTGTTTAAGGCACTTCCTGCCATTATGTCCTTAAGCACTTACCCCCATCTGCCATAGAAGGTCTGTAAGTATTTTCAATTTAACACACATTATGACTGAATCAATACACCAAGGCATCAGTTAATCACATCACACTAATGTGTGAGAAACAACACTTTCTGCAAAACTAAAAGGGATAGTTACCCAAATGTTTCTGTTTTTGTCCATTTTGTCCAAGCAAAATTGGACACCACTGACTTTCATTGTGTAGACAAAAAACAACAACACTTGAATTCTTTAAAAATATAATATTTTCTGTTCCACTGAGGAAGGTAAGTCATACAGGTTTGAAAAGAGTAAACAATGACAGGTCATTTTTTGAGCAAACTTTAACACAATTTTGCACTACATTCTGGTACGTTATTTTTGTAAAAATGCTACCCACAACTCTCATTGTTCTAGCACATTTCTCATTG